AACTTGACATCTTCCTGTCTCAGTATCCTGAGTTGCTGGATTAGGGGTGTGTGCCTCTGCATTTGGCTTACTAAGGTGTCTTAAATCATAATTGGTGTTTATTTTAACAAAGACTTATTTGGGAACGTATTGACATGATCATACCCTTTTTTTCTTCCCTATTTCAATTAATTTGATTGTTTTAACACTAATGTATTATTTATGTATTCATGTATCTCATCTTTCTACGCTTTCTCCTAGAGACCTAATCCTGTACATTTTTCCAAGTCATTCTTGTGCTCCCACTAACAATGGCAAAACTAACCCAAAAAGGTTGGAAATATTGTCTATGTTCTTTGTAACCATCCTCTCTACCTTTTCAGGGTTGAAGGGATGACTTCCCATTCAGGTAGGTACTTCTCAATATTACATTTTTTTAGACCTAAGACCTCTGGTGGAAGTAGACATTCCTGCTTTTCTCTGAAAGCTTGTTTCCATTCTTCTGTTACATCTCTTTCCAATCACCTGTTCTAATTTAGCAATGACTAAAATACCACCCCTTTTTATAATCCTATCTTTAAGATTCATTATCTCCTGGTTTTTCTTATTTTTTTCCTTTCTTATTATTAATATTGTCATCTAAGAAGGCAGCTTTTCTTCTAAAGAAATATTTATTTTCCCCCAGCTTTATCAGCCTTCCTTATTTTATTTATTTTCCACCATTCTACTGCTTCTCTTTTGACTTCAAGTTCTAAATATATATTTAAAACAAATATGGCTCCTACTTGATTTCCTGGATAGAGCTGATTCCTAATAGGAATTAGCCCTTTTTAATTCCCTTCTGTTTTTGGAATCATAATAGATTCCTCTCTCTTCCTCAAACCCCCATATAACAAATACTTCCATTCCTCTTCGTATATTTATGGTAAAATCCATCATTACTCTGTGGTTGAACACACAGAGAATTTCAATTAAGTCCCTGAAATCCTACTCTCAGAGCTTACCTACTCAACAAATCTACCAGCACTAGGAACAAAAATAGAAGAAGTGTCTCTACCCCATATGAAATAAAGAAATTGCTCTCTCTGCTCCTAAAAAGGATGCAATTCAAATCAAGATAAAGGGGAACCAAATTAATTAAAACTGATCTAAAGTACAATCTAAGCACTACAATCTCTTAAACTTGTACTTTTTTTTTTTCTTTTGGTATCAGGGATTGAATCCAGGGGCACTTAACCACTAAGCCACATCCCCAGCTTTTTAATTTATTTATTTATTTATTATTATTATTATTATTAATTTTGAGACAGGGTCTCTCTAAGTTGCTTAGGGCATCACTAAATTGCTGATGATGGCTTTGAACTTTTGATCCCTCTGCCTCATCCTCCTGAGCTGCTGGGATTCAGGTGTGCACCAGCATGCCCAGCATGTATTCCTAAGTATATGTGCAACTTGTGCCATTGGCTGAGAATATAAAGGTTACACAAATTGACCCATTCGATGGTACATTGCTTTCCCTTTCTATATATTCCCATATATAGTCTCAGCTCTATATATGGGAATCAAGATCAGTCACAGTGACCCATACAGCTCACTGTTGTAAAAGCCTATGCCCAGTGCCTCTAAAAAGTAGTCACTTGCAGATGGATTCTAGCTACCATAAACTGTTTAAACATGACAAATTCAAAGACTTGTAAGTTCCAAGGTTGCTAAAGTATTAAAGTCCTGTGGTCTGGCACACCAGACATCCAACCTCTCTACACATCTTACTTTGGTTCCTCAATTCCAGATGGAAAGCCTATTCCTCCATATTAAACAGCTGTGATAGGTCTAAGGGAAAAAAAATTAATCATATTCCTTTTCCCTCCAAGGAACCAAAATAATGAACACCAAATATCAGTGTTTTGCTAATGAAGCTGTATCATGATCAAGACTTTCTAATATACAACATCACAATTCCTGATCTTGGGATAACCCACCCAAAGGACAACGTGTAAATAAACACTTACCTGGATAACAGCAAGGGGCTTGGCTGTCCCAAAAGTAGGAAAAGAAAGGCACTCTTCGATCTGCCTCTGGAAGATAGACCTGGATCTCCGCAGGTGTGCTTACCATATGAGAGCCAGATCCAATCCAAGTGGAGTGCTGATGCGCAGCATCCAGGTAGATGTGAGAGAGATAAGGGAGTGTAGAATGTGTGTGCACAATGACCCTCTTTTCTAAGTGTCCATTAAAGACCATAATCTTTTTCCTTAGGGGAGAAATGTGTCATAGAGACAGGGCAAAAAGGCCTTGGGCAACATGGTTCCCCACTTGAAGAATAGAGAATAGGGACAAATGACAGATTCTTCTCTCCATGGGTGGGGACAAAGCCTTTGTTCTTCATTTCCTCCCAGAAGTAGGAGTGGATCCATCTCCCTCACATCCCAGGTCTGACCCAGAATTCATTCCCAGCTTCCAACCCAGATTTCTGGAAGATTTCTATTATAAATAGCATTACTAGGTCATTCCTACATCAGATCTTAGAATGTCAGGGTGGGACAAGGACCCAGAGGTTCAGGCTGATCCCAACCAACCACAAGACACATTCACTCAATGAGGTCTGTCTGATTAACAAAAAGAAGAAGAAACACCAATATATCTAGAAAGCCCCCTCCAAGGCATTTCAATACTAAGTATTCTTCAAGAATTGTCTGGCTGTTGGAGTGAAAAGAATAGCAATACTTAGACCAAGAAAGACCACATAAAAATCTTGTTTCCATTGTCTACCTACTTTGGGGTCCTGGGTGTCTCCCTCCCCACCACTATAAGACCTGAGAGTAATCATTTCGTCAATGAAAGATATATCACATGTTGGTTGTCAGAGGCCATCCCCAGACAAAAATTCTCAAGGTAGAACCCAAATAAGGACACTATTTGGGAATAGAGAGTCTAAAGTTATTTATCAGTGGATGGTTGAAAAAGCCAGGCCTTTTTGAGTCCAGTTCCAGAATAATTGATAACAATTCCTTTCCTGTTAGTTTCTTTGGTCCATTTACCCAACCTTCTATAGGTGGGGAAAAAGAGTAAGCTCTAGCCTTCAGTGGGACCCACAGTGCCCTATCTATTCAGCCCCAGCCGAGGGAACAAATAGAACCAAAGGAGGACTTTTCCTGCTACCAAAAATCACCTCCTTAAATTGGGGCCTCCTTTGTCCACATGTTACTCAAGGACAGCCCCACCTGTCATGCTTAGCTGTCAGCAGGGACACGGGCCACATTTTGGGGTGTCATTTCTAAAGATGCCCCCCTAACAGTTTAGGAGGACTTGGTATCATTCCAATGCTATGTTTGTATGATTTAAGCTCTCAAGGACACTGGAATGCCCAAGACCAGACAAAGAAGAGAACTGGCAATGAAAATTAATCTAGCAAGCCCAAAGAAAAAGACTCTCCCAGAAAGCAAAAGCCATTCTCACTTTAACTCTACAAGGTATGCAAGGTTGGGAATGGACTTTACCTGTTAAGAAAAAGGACTTTTGAGTTAGATAAAATAGGCAAAGGGTTCAAGGGAAGACCCAACATTTAAAGAGACATAGAAATTATAGGGGATAGGGTGGGAGGGGATCCTGGTTGAAGAAAAGTAGAGTGGTGTCCTTTATCTAAAGGTCCAGGGAAGGGGGATGACAAGAAACCAAGTGTGAGGGAAAGAGTCACTTAGAAGGTTAGACACCCTAATTCTAGTTCTAGCTCTTGCCAGTAACTCAGCATGATTTTGAGATGATACAGACTTCAGTATCTTCATCTGTAAAATAGGGGCAAGTGGTTTGTTTAACCAGGTGCCTGTTATGGTCCTATAATATTATGACATCTCCCACATTTGTGAATGATGGGATATAATTATAAGATATTGAGGAGGGGGCTGGAGGACCTCATAATAAGGAATCAACTTTCAGCCTCACACCACTCTCACCCACGCTGGCTCCCCCACCAACCCCCCAACCCATCCCCCCACACCCGGCCATAAAAGGGCCTCATGCTTATCAGGCAAGAACTCTACCACTGAGCCACATCCCCAGCCCTCAGCCTCATCTCTAATGAAAGAGTCACATATATATACATTCTCACATATAGAAACAGAGTAGTTGATGATTTCATCCCAAGCAGCAAGGACACATAATAGAAAAAACAAATATTGTTGATACCTTGTTCCGATCATTGGAGGAGAAGGGCCCTGAAGATGTAACTTGGAGGGACTTCATGGTCAGAGGAGAAGGATCCTCCTGTTTGATAAAAGCTATCACTTTGCTGTTCCCTCCCCAAATCCAAAGGCAGCCAGGTCTTTGGAAGAAATCAGTCTCTCACACCCACCCTCCAACACCAACTCACCTGTAGCAAAAACAAAAGTGTAAAGATCTTGAAGGGAAACCCCCCCCTAGTTAGCCATTATTAAATGAACAGAATCTATCACCCCTGAGATTGCTTTGGATGAGGCAGCTGGAATCACATGCCTCAGTTTCCCTGAATGTTATCAGTTGTTCTGAAAGTACTTGTTTGGGACCAGCCCCCATCAAAAGTTGCTTAGGTTTGCCATCTGGGTGAAAAGGGGGAACTAGTTTGTACCACCCTTTTCTTTCTGTGTTTTTATGGTTATTTCCAAATTGTTTAAGCAATCTCATTATGAGAGTGAGCCAGGAAGCTACCATCCCCAAGTAAGAATTTAAATGGGGAAAAGGGTTACGGTGCAAGTGGAGGGTTCCAAATTATGCTAGAGGACCTACAAACAGACTCACACCACTCCCCACACACCAAGAATCATCTCCCAACCATTCATCCACTGGACACTTGCACTGTCTCTCCTAACTGGGGCAATTGGGGAAGTGGAGGACATTTGCCTCCCATCAACCTGGAATCCTTGGTTAAAAGATACTAAAAATAAATTAGTAAACATTGCTGTTTACAGAAATAGAAATCATTTCTGTTTCCAAAGGCCTCTCACCATCCCAGTCCTGGACATTTCCAAGACCACCACCCCTGTCACCCTCTCCAAGGTCCGCCCTGGTGGGTGGGTGAGGCACCCGAGTCCTTTAAGACTGGGAGTTCCTCAGGCATCTGAGAATTTCAGTTCTCTGGTTCCTGGGAAGAGAGAATCTTCAGTACTCTGGAGAGTACCAGAGTTCATCCCTTCTCACCAGTTCCTGGGGGTTGTCTTGATCAACCCCTCCTTTTTGGATGATATTTGTGTTGCAAGAATTCCCGTTATTTTCTGGCTCCCAGTCCCTCCCCAGAGTCCAACATGCCCACCTGGAACCACCCTCAGAGCGGAGGAACCAGTCTGTGCCTTGGTCTAATGACTCTGATAAAAGAGGGATGGGCAGAGAGAAGGCAGGGAAAATGGTCTGGGAGATAGTCCTGGGGGGGGGGGATAACTGACAGCAATGACTGTCCTACAGGCTGGTAGGGAGGCTGGGCTCCTGGCCAGAGCCAGAACCGGAGCCAGAGCCGGAGCAGGAGCTTTCCACCACGGTGGTGGGTTGCGGGTAGTCGCGGGGAGTGCGACGACGTCCCCGGTACTCAATCATGTCAGGATGATAAGTTGGGTGGCGGCGGGCGTGCTTGGTCAAGTGGTCGCTCCTGGAGAACTGCTTGGGGCAGAGGGGGCAGGAGAAGCGCTTTTCACCCGTGTGCGTCCTGTAGTGGCGGGCCAGCTCGTCGGAACGCGTAAACTTCTTGTCGCAGTCGAGCCAGTCGCAGGAGAAAGGGCGCTCACCCGTGTGGGTACGCTGGTGGGACTTAAGGTGCGATGACTTGTAATAGGCTTTGGTGCAGCCAGTGAAGGAGCATTGATGTCGCTTGGCTGCAGGTGTTACTGGCCTTCTCCGGGACATCTGACCTGCTGCGGGTGCGGGGCCAGCCTCTGGGGCCCCTCCAGACACCCCTCCGGCGTCGTCGAGCGCTCCCGGGTCGGCTGGCGCACTTGGGACGGCAGGCGAGCCGGAGGAGCTCGCGGGTTCGGAGAACGCGTCTGCACCGGAGGCTGAGGCCGGCTCGGAACCCTGGGTCGGGCTGGAGCACTGGGTCGGGTCGGTGGAGCCAGACGAGGCGCGCAGAGCTTCCCCCGAGTTCTCCCCGTAGCCCTCCCCAAAGCTGCCGCGCAAATCAGCCAAGACGCTTGCAGCCAGCAGGTGGGGCGCGGCGCCACCCGCGCCGGGGCTGGGGGCGGGAACCTGGGGGAGCAGGGGGACCGACGCGGGCCCTGGTGGCCCCGGACCCGGCAGAGCGCACTCCGGCGGCGCCGCACCCACCTCCGAGCCAGCGGCTCCGCCCGCGCCCTCGGGGTCCGGCGGGCGGCGGTGAACCACGGCGCCCGCGGACATGGACACCAGGCACTCGGCGGCGAAGTAGTCCATGCACGCCACGGCTGCCGACATGCTGGGACCGCTCGGCAGCCGGCGAGCGCCGTCAGAGCGCGGCCGGCCGCGAGCGAGAGAGTTCCCGGGAGCGTCCGTCCCGCAGCCTAGGAGCGAGAAGCAGGAGGCCGGGTGCGCGCCGCCCGCCGCCCGCCGCCGCCGCCGCCGCCCGTGCCGAGCCCGCCCCGCCTGACGCGCCCCTGACGCACCGGAGCCCGCGGGGGCGCCGGGGACCCGCCCCGGCCGGCAGGACACCCCCGGAATGCGCGGCCCACCGGGCTAAGTCATTTTTAACAGCCTAAGAAATTATCTTGTCTTCGCGTTCTTTCTTCTGCTGGTGAGCCAGGTAATTTTAATAAAGCGAAAACTCCCCGATCGTAACTTCTGGGCAGCCTGCCGGCTTGGCCCCCCCGCGCCGGCTGGTCCTCCGCCAGCTGGGTGTCCGGCGGAGTCCGAGAAACTTTTTTTTTAAGGGGAAAAAAAATGCTAATACCTGACTTGTCTTTCGATTCATAATTGCGATTGTTGGCTAAGTGGTCTGGAATTACATTTCACTCCCGTTCTCCGCTCTCAGACCAAATTGAAAATATCCCCAAGTCTGCATCAAGGAAAAAAAAAAAAAAAGTTTTCCCATTTAGCAGTTCAACTGTTAATCCAGGGTCGGTGGCAATTCCCTAAATAGATCCACTACGTAGCTATTAATTAATAGCATTTTGAACCAGAAACATTTTAACCTTGGAAAAGCGAAGAATCCTCTCATGGTTGAAATTGAAACTTAAAATCCTTTGAGTAACGATTTAACTATTCAACCAACGAAAGAAAAATGCATGTTTAAACTGCATTAACCTGTCACAGGCATACAAACAAATTTCCACGCTGAAATATAAATTATAGACTAGCAGCGAGATAAACACATTAAAATGGACTCCCACAATTTTAATAATAGAAAGTCACGTTTCCAATTAGGCAACATCTTGTATTTTTTCTTTTGGCAAAAATTAAGAATAAGAAAACACAGCAAATGATATAGAATGCTCATATGGTGTTTTATGATTGTGGAGGCTTTTCTTTTTTATAATCAAATATGTGAATAATTTCTTTTACCTGTGTTCATTGCTCTCATTTGCTTTCCTCTTTTTTAGTCTTTAAAATTAAAAAACACATAGAAAACAAACAGGATCATTTCTAAAAACAGTCATATCACAATTTGGCTTGTGTACAAGCTTTACTTTTATATTATTGAATTATGTGCATTTTATTTGTAATTCTTCAGTACTTTTTCTTTTGAAAATTAAAAAATACAAATGCATCAGGAATAACACACATGTTCATGTTATTTACTGACCAGATTAATCAAATGTGATATTTTTGTCATATTTGCTTCAGATTTTGAAATTTATATTAAACATTAGAGTTGCATGTCACTTTACTTTTCTCCCCAGTCACATTCACCTTTCTACCCCCTTTATTTCCCTAGGTGATCAGTATTATAAAGTATGTATTCTGTCAGCATTTGTTATTATACTTTTATTACTCAGTTACCTATATATGTAAATATATATGTTTATAACCATGTTTATGTACTTAATTTTTTTTATGAATGGGACAGTAGTGTACATGTCATTTTGTAACCTGCTTTTCTCCCTCAATGTGATTTTGAGAACTAGCCAGGTTAACATCTATAGGATTTACTTTATTCATTTCATCAGTTTTAAAATAATATTGTTAGCTCTATTATTTTTAAGGAGATTCCACTTTAAAAACTGAAAATGTTTGCTAAAGTTGCTTGCCTCAAATTCTCAGATGATTAACAACCTACACATTAAAATTTTATAAGAGATAGGATTCTTTACTGGCTGCTTTAATTTTATTATTTAGAAAAAGCTAAAGATATTTAATAGTGCAGAGATAATATTATAGGTCCCCATGTACCTGTCTCATACAATTAATCAATGTTACCATTTGTCTTATTTGCTTCAGATCTGTTTTTTAATTAAACTACTTAACATTTCTGATAAAATCAAAGTCCCCTTGCATTCCTCCCTGGTACCCTTCTCCACCCTTTTCCCCAAAGGCAAACACTATCACGAATTTGGTATGCAACTTTCCAATCTAGGTTTTACACTTTTACTGCATGTGAACCCATATGGAATATTGCTTTGAATGATTTCTAAAATGTACATACATGGTGTTACACTATACATGACATTCTATGGCTTTTTTTTTCTTCTTCATGGTATTTTTTTCCTTCATGTTCATAAATATAGATCCAGTTCATTCATTTTAATTGCTATATTGTAGATCCATGCATATGAATGTGCCGTGTTTATTCATGCCCCTATTGATGAATATTTCAGCTGCTGCCAGCCAGCATCTTGGTATTACTTGTACATGTTTTCCTTGCACATATGTGAGAATTTCTCTATGTGTTCTACCTGGATGGGGAATTACTAGGCTGCACACACATTTTCAGTTTTATCAGGCTGCCAAATGGTATTCTAGTTTGTGCACCCACCAAAGTATAGGTGAGGTGTTTCCCTCAGATGACATTAAATACTGTCTAGATTGTTATTTCTGCCAATTTGGTTTTTAAATAACCCAGTATCTTGTTTTATTTGAGTTTCCCCCACTGCTAGTGAGGTTGAGCTTTTTTTTTTTCCAATATATTTATTGGCTGTTGACATTTCTGAATTTGTGATCTGTTTGTTCACAGTCTTCCTTCATTTGTCCAGTAAGCTGTATATGTTCTTATCTTTTATCCTCTTGATGTGTAGGAGTTTGTGTGCATAAACATTAAATATTTTGTGTCAGTCTGTAGTTTGTCTTTTAACTTTTGATGTCTTTTGTTGCCATAGAAAAAATTAAATGTAGCCATATTCATTGATGTCTCTTTTTAAATAGTTTGTATCACTTGTATATTATTAAAGAAACTTCTCTATACCTGATGTATGAAGACAGCCTCTTATATCTTTTTCCTTAGTGTTTGAAAGTTTTGCTTTCCACATGTGAAATTGATCCATCTGGGACTTATCTTTACAAATGGTGTAAAACAGGAATTTAATTTTACTCCTTCCTTCTCCCCCAATATAGAAAGGCTATTGTGACCTGATTTACTGAACAGTCTTCATCTCCCTATTAATGTGTAATGCCACCATGACTGCAAATTAAATTTCCATATATTCATGGATATGTTCCTAGTTTGTCCTTTTCTGTGGATCAAACCAATTCTAATTACTACACCACACTAATTACTATGGTTTTATAATAAGACTTGATGTGCAGAAGGGCATGCCCCTCTTTGTCCACTTTAAAAATGGGTCTGGCTAGTTTGGGACTTATCCTCTTCTATACCAACTTTAGGATCAGTTTGTCAAGTTCCAAAGAAAAAGTTTATTTAGTATTTTGCTGAATTATATTTAAGGTTAGATTTAGGGACCTGTGACATCTTTATAAAATTGAATACTCCAACACATGAATATTATTCTGATTTTTAAATATCCTTTGTAACATTTTAGAGTTTGTTTACAAAATGCCCATATTGCTTTGCTATTTTCCCCTAGATACTGTGCAGCTTTTGTTGCTATTATAAGTGTGGTCTTTTTTTCTATGAAAATGTTTAATTGGTTATTGCTGCTGTTTGGAAATTGAATCATCTTGTTTAAAAGGCAAAACATTTTAAATTCTTATTAAACAGTTAGTTTGTAGATTCTTCATATTTTCATGTAGGTAATCATACTGCCTATAAACAACACTCCTGACAGCTTTTCCCCTTTCTTATCTCACTGGATGTGTGGAGACCTCCAATATATCAAATAAGAAGGGTGAGAGGAAGCACTGTTTGCCTATTCCTGTCTTGCTGAGAATGTTTCGAAAGTGTCATTGTATCTCTATGTTTTTTACAGAAAACAGTATCAGGTTAGTGTAGTTCCCTTCTATCCCAGTTGTGTTTAAAGGAGGAATATTTTTAAGCCATGAAATGAATATTGAAATTTTATTAAATGCTTTTCCTAAAACTATTGAGATGGTTATAGATTTTTGTCTGTGATGTGTGAATGCAACAGGTCACATTGATAGAGTTTTCTAATGGGAACCTGTCACTGAATTCCAGGGGAAGCCTGCTTTGCCATTAATGTGCTATCAGTTTTTAGTACACTGCTTCATATAATTTTGCGTTTTTAAGAATTTTAGCATCTTGTTCATAAGTAATATTGGCTTATAAATTTCCTGTCTTGCACTGTCCTTATCTGTGTTTGGGATCAGGTTTATGCTACCTTCATAAATGCATCTGAAAATTTCCTTCTGTTTCTATTTTCTGAGACAGCTTGCATGAGATAGGTATTATTTTCTTGAATGTTTGATAAATCTCTTTGTGAATCCATCATATTTTAAAAGTTTGGGTTTCCTAGTTCTTTAATCAATTTCGGTAATTCACATTTTTCTAAAAATTTAGATATTGCACTTAAACCTTCAAATTTTTGGTAGAGAGTCCATATGCTCTTAATTTAAAATATACTACATTATCTGTACTAATATTCTAATTTTTTATTCCTGATGTATTTTTGAATTTTCTACTTTTTTTTTTCTTAACAAAAGTTTATATTTTTTGGACAAACCTGTAAACATTTGTCTACAGCCTTTTTAGACGGGCAGCCTTTGTTGATCATATCTGTTTCTTTTCAAACATATATTTACTTAATTTCTGTGTTTATTTTTATTAATGCTTGACATTTTCACTAAGTTGAACATGTTACTCCTTAAAATGAAGGGGAAAGGGGGTAAGCTTTCCAGTTTAAATACATATCTAACGTTAATTTCCTGTCTTTCTTGTTTTCTGATATTAATTTAGTGCTATCAATTTCTCTTGAAGGGAAATTTCTCTTGCTTTATCTGTAGCCTACAAGTTTTCAAAATAGTGCCTTCATTGCCATTCAGTTCTAAATACTTCATAATTCCACTGCGATTTCTTAAACATTAAATTTTCAGAAGGGCGCTTTTCCTGGATTTCACTGGTATTATATCAC